AATGAAGAAAGAGGATAGATAAGGAGCAGCAGAAAGAGAAGTGAAAAAGGAATGGAATGAAATAGAACTACGGAGAAAGTTTTTTTTGTTTTTTTAGTTTGTTTAGTATGGTGTTTTACCTAGGGAGAAAGAACAGGGGAGGGGCAGCAAAGAGATGAGATAAAGGTAGTGGGGCAAAGAGTGAGAGGGAGATCAAAATAGAGAAAGCGGGAAATCGAGGTAAAAAGAGATGTGGAAAAAGATGAAACTGAAGCAATCTCCGAGCCGAAGAGCCTAGACAGCACAGAACAAGAGACGAAACAGTTTGGGTTTGAGAAGCAAATCGGTCACGTTTAGTGGTGTTGATGGTCTAGCGGTTAGGCATGGGCGCACAACCGAAAGTCGTGGGTTCGAACCACGTCAGGATCTGGACCTTATGTCCTTGGAAAAGGCATTTTATACACACGAATATTCCTCACTACACTCAGATGGGAATGAATGCCAAGCTGTCGATAACGCAGGATCAGTATGTTACTGTTTGAAAGCTTAATCAGCTATCTGCACCGTATGCTTCCAAGGATACCGAAAATGTTTCTGCTCTCAGTGATCTAGGGTCTGCTGGGGTAATGTTATGGATTGTAAATCGCAGGCAGCTTCTGGTCAGCGTGAACAGATGCCATAATAATTAGATTAGAAAAATGGATGGATGGATGGATGGATGGATGGATGGATGGATCGATGGATGGATGGATGGATGGATGGATGAATGGATGGATGGATGGAAGATTGGGAGGGTGGATGGATGGATGGATGAACAGACGGATGGATGGACAGACAGACAAACGGAAGGACAGGTGGATGAACAGATGGACAGACAGACAAACAAACAAATAAACATACATGTAATATACAAACAGACAAAAATGTTGCATTTACCTTACACACACACTCCACGGTTGGGTCTGTCTTGAGGGGAAAGGTCTCTCCACTCATGCGATCCTGTCCGTCATAGTGACAACCTGAGGGGGGGGGGTAGTAGTTTGTTAGATTTTTTTGTTTTGGTAAGCGTTTTACGGCACTTGCAGCATAATTAGGTCATACAAGAGCCGAAGATTAGAGGTATTACAAGAGAGTAACAAGCACAAAGAGGAAATGGAGAGATAAGGACGAAAGATGTTTAGTTTTAGTCTTAGTATGAGTTTTACTGCACTTGCAACACAATAAGGTCATTAAAGCGCCGAAGATTAGAGGTATTACAAGAGAGTAACAAATACAAAAAGAAAAAGGTAAGATAAGGACGAAAGATGTTCGATACGAAAGAAGGAGCAAACCACACTAGAGCACCCGCCAACCTTTTGTTTGTTTGAGTGAATAAAACTTTTGACACAATAACGGTCATTTCATACTGACAAAAAGTAAAACAGACAGACAGAAACAAGACAAGGAAAATAAAGAAGTGGAACCTACCAGCAACGCAATATAACCACCCGCGGTAAGGGCGGGGGTAGTAAAGAAAGGGGTGGGGTGGGGCAGATTTAAAAAATATGCGTACATATATTATATACAGTCTTCACAAAAAGTTAAGGACCACTTACAAAAGTGCACTCAAGATAAAAACCAGGAATTCAAATTATGCCTTCTTTAAGATACATTTAATTCACCAATCCATAAGTGCAAAATAGAAGTTTCATCACAATC